GCTATTACTGCCCCAATAGCTTTTTGCTTACCTTCCACAGTTAACTATACAGAAGCTGCAAAATCATCTTTTGCTTGACATAGTTCAGCTATATCCATTTTGGACTTTAACGATAGCTCTAGGTATCCATGTTTCGGGGGCAAAACAGATGACGTTCACCAGCGTATGTTAAACTTTACACCTATTACTTGTCCCTTTTAGTGCAACTTCATCACAGAAATCAGGACTTCCAACACTTTTTCCAATCCAGTCAATATGTCCTACATTTCCAGAGACAGGTGCCAGAACTGGTACGAGGTAGTGAGCACTCATTTACCTACTTTTAGGAATTCTTTTTCAGCATCTTATTCTCAGATAAATAATTTAAATTGGAAAAATTTCACATTTTCTGCTATAACACCACTTAAATTTCTTCCTTGACATATTTTACATTAATAACACATTAAAATATGGAAAGTAATAAAGGCTAATATCATGCTTGTAACTCTAGCATCTTATGTAAACTTCCATCTGCTTAAAATAGGAATGTTACTTTTTAAAAAGTATTTGAATCTTAGGTTTCCAACATTTGAAAATGAAGTGTAATACTTTTTAATCAGCCATTAAAAACATTCCATTCATAAGTTCATAAGACAGTTCATCTGTCTCAGTACTTCTCAAAACACCTGCACTCTTAGCTATTAAAACGCTAATGTATTTGCAGGGGTTATTTGTAGAACCTACATGAAGCTGCAAAATACTAAAGCTTGATTTAACAGGGCAAAGTTCCCAGGTTTCATTCTCCAAAAACATTCTTAATTCTTCAAGGCGGGTTCTGAAATACAACAAATGAATACTCTTAATCAGCAGCAAGAGCAAAACAGAAAGTAGACTAATTATTTAACTTACATAGCAAAAAATGCCTTCAAGAACCACACAAGTCACACTTGAAAATGGATATTTAAGTTATTCTTTCAACTGGCAAACCACCTGAAAGCTGCGGCTACTAATGCAATGTTACTTTATGACACCTCTGGAAAAATTCTCAAAGAATGCCAACCACTGCAACTTGGAAACAAATTTTTTCTCAAAACCATTAGTAAGTGCCTAGGAATGTTTATGATTGTGCAGTACTATGCAACAACGATGGTTGTTAATCCCCTAAACTATATTTTTCTTCATATCTTTAACTTTGCTTTGGCATTAATACAGAAAAAGTATGGGAAATATAATCAAGCCATTGTTTCTCTGCATTGTCTCTGGTATGTTTTCAACCATCAGAACAACCTCCATAGAGCTGTAAGTACAAATACCTTTAATAAAGCAAATCTTTTTGCCTCATAAGCAGGAATTCATAGGGAAAAAGACAGCAACGTCTTTCTTCTTAATGCACGTTATACTGTTTTGCTGAACGTGTAGCAGTCGGTAAATTATGCCCTGGGTTTCTAATCAGGTAGTGAAACATTCCAAAAACATCACTGTTTCAATAACAAACTGTAATCACTGAAACAACTAAAGATTTTTGCCTCAACAAGATAAGCAACGTGTTGAATTATGACTACAGTTTGCCATATCTATTTAAATTTACCAATTAAATGCAAACAGACTTGAAGTCTGACTCTCAGAGGCACTGACTGCACATAGCCCATACATCTTCTCCCGATAAAGCCAATAGGAATAATAAATAAAGTAGCTCTGAAAAAAATCAGAGCTACAGATTAACTTTCTTGCAGAGGAAGATTAAGGAAAAAGATTCACAGAAAAGCAAACAAATATTTAAAAGCTACATAGCACCATATTTGGTATCATTTCTAAGCTGAAATTTAGCCACTGACAAAACATATTTGAACAGACACTCTTGATTTTCACCAGCGTGCAAGTCTAGAAAGTGGCACAAGTGGGAGGTCTGATACATTCATTCTCTGACAAGCTTTGCTGCTCAGACACACCTTTTTAGAAATGTACCAGCAAATAAAAGTGAATTATGTTCTAAAATCAGCTGGCTGATGTCTTCTGCCAGAAGTCCATTCTAACTTTTCAAAATAATCAACTTTTACCCAACAAAAGGCTCCATGTATGCTTTTGTATTACATTGCTCTTCTATGCTTTCTGAATGACATGACCAGTTCCTTTGAATGCTTTCTCTATGTGGACAGTTCTCTACAACATCACACCACCCAGGAAACCATGTCTGTTAAGCCACATAATCAAAGAACTGAGTACTCCTGGACTCTAAGCATTGCAACTCTATGAAGCTTTTATGCACTAATGAATTCTTAAAAGGGTTAGCTTTTTTTTTTTTTTCTCCCCAATTAAGTACACAAGGGGAGTGAAAGCCACATTAGCTTGATCCGAAAAGGCAAAACGCTTACAGCTTTTATATAAATCAACCTGACAGATACAGTAAGGACACAGTTGGTTTTGATATTTTTTCTTTTTGAGGATGAAAACATCAGCTAATTAATCTTCAAAATACCCACACTGCATAAGACAGTTAAAATATTAAAAAGTTAACATATTTGAGTCTATATCAATAATATTTCCTTTTATTTTCAAGAGAATGACAAGAAATACTACCTACAAAGAAACACAAATCATAAAATGATCATTTCTATACATATTCCATTGATGTTCTAACTCTATTCTATTTAAAAATAAAATCAAAAAATTACAGTTTCTGATTCCCTATGCTGTTAAATAGGTCCTTTAAACATAAGCAGGACCTCACTGGTCAAAACAGTATTTACTTAGCCAAGCAGGGTATTAGATCATAAAGCAGAGGAGTAAAACAGGCCTAAGTAGATCAAAATAGCTTTTCTAAGTAGATGAAAGCTACTGGAAAAGAAGCATGCAGCAGGCCAGGTGGAAAAGTTGAAAGCGCTCCATTCAGAGGTGTCATGAACTCTCTTCAAATAGTTTTGGCCATAAGAACATACAGCTGCAAGCTCAGTTTCCAGAGCAGTAGATGTAATTCAGTTCGGGGTTCAGAAATGTAATGCCTCAGTGCAGGCATGTTATTCAGTGCCTCTGGAAACCATTTAAAACTAAAATCAACAGAGAGTCATTAAACTGGTCCAACTTCACAGACAGTAGGTCTCACCTGTGGTATGTTTTAAAATAGTTAACGCTTTGTTTTCTGATAGATTCTTGCAAAACTTCAGACTTACTGCCACAAAATTCTTCTCCAACTTGCATCAGCCTATAATGATAAAACACAGTTTAGAATTTAACTACTCAAAATTACCTGAACAATATTGGAGAAAAATCGGACATATTAATACTAGTGTCCAAGCAGAATCACAAGCCTCACTTATTACCAGGAGAGTATACTCATCTCCATAAAACCAGAAGACCAAAGGTAAGTTACAAAAACTACACTCACTCCACAGAAGTCCCTGTCTCATTTCTCCTCCAAATCCTATCACAATATCGCATACACTTAGGAACAAAGAGCCTTAAGCAAAGCAAAACAAATATCTGTTTGGGATCCCATTACATGAGGTTAAGCCATACAGGTCATAGCTTGAATCCATCATTTTATTATCAAAATTATCAAAAAGGATGCAACGCTCCACGGGTTAGTGACACTGTACTCTTTTGCTGCTCTTGACTGAGGAATCCTGTGGAAGCTTTTTGGAATATCTAACCTGTCAGATTTGCACTGCTGAAATCTTAAGGCTGGCCAATACTGAAATCATATCAGAACCTAAGTACTAACTTGACCAGCAAAGCACTTTGTTTCCTCTCACTTTCAAATATATCCTTGGAGCAGGTAGCAAAACCAGACTGACACTCATGCACAGACTCCCACACAAAGAGGAAGCGTTCCTCGTGCTGTATCAGTACATATGAACAAAGCTGACATCAGGGTGTTAACATCAGCCTTAGTCAACCATGCTGTCTTATCAGAACTCAAGTTTGTCCACACGTCGTAACTGGCCTTATGACCACATCAGTATACCTGCTGATAATATCAAGTACAAATATGAAGTCATCATATTTGAAGTTAGACAGGTCTGTTCCCAGAAGATACGTTTTCACTTTCAGTTGAACATCCTACAAAACATAAACATTTCAAAATCAGCACTGAATCCTTGTTAGATGCCTACGCAAAAATATAAGGTTTTGTAATACTTAATACCCTCAAGACGGAAATTAAGGCAAAAGGCTCAGATGCCTGGTTCATTAGTACTTTGTGCTTTGTCTGCACGTTCAACTTCTCTTTGGGATTAAGGGCAGCACTCCATTTTCTGCAGTGCGAGTAATTTCCTGTTGACTTCCTTAACTAGTACCGTAATCCATTTCGTTAATGCTCTACAATGCAATGTCAGTCCTAAACTCTTTACAACCACTGGAAAAAACAGACCTTTCAAATACAGTTCTGCTATGTAAAAGGATTGCAGCTTTATCATTTGAAATTTGGGGCATTGCAAGAAATCAAAGTGATCTAGTAATCAAACGAGGCAGGTTCACAAGCTCTGGCTATACCAGAATGGCTATAGAAGATTATTCTTTAGCTCTGAATTTCAGTACTTCCATTTTCATTTTTCTATTTATTCAGGGGTTTGGAGGGGTTTTTTTGCTGTTGTTTTGTTTTTTCATTTTTCCCTTTCCACACCTCCCACAAGCTATCCCAAGCTGTGGGCAGTTCAGAGATGCTACAGCATACGTAGAAGGAGGGGCCTATGAACCCCTTACACTCCTTGCAAACTGTAACGAACATGAGCAACGGCAAACTAAAATACTGCCCTCCCTATCAGGTATAGGGCAGATACAAACTCATTTCAAGAGGCCTTAACTAAACACAGACCCATAAGCAGCATGACTGTGCTAACAGAGAGAAGCGTATGGGAAGAAAGTAGGCTGTGGGGCAGCAGGCAGGTTGAGAGAAGTGGGCTTAGGTCGAGAGTCATAGTATTATGTTTTGGTATCTTGACTAGGTTTGTAAGCAGAGTGACCAAATAGTAACTGAGTCATGGAAAGGAAATGTCCATGGTTTTGACTTATTTGGCTCAAAACAAATCACTTAAATTCCCTGGAGAGATCTCCTTAAAAAGACCAGTAAGAAAATAACTGTATTTTAAATGCTTATTTTCCACTAGGATAAGATAGTAAAAAACAAACCTGCCATATTCGTGAAAGCCCATGTTCCAATTTCTTTTTTACATAGCTGCGGTCAAAACTGTTCTCCTCCGTTCCAATCACATTATTGCCATCTGAAACTGAAGTTGGAAGGTATTACAGATATTTCCAAGGCCTTAAAATGCATTTTAGTTTTGTAGCCATAATGAAACTTCTGCCTTAGCCATAATTATATTATCCATTATGCAATCTCCAGGAGAACTCCATTGCTCTAAACTTTTGAAAGGAATAAAGCACATAAATATGTGATAATGCAAACCAGAGAAATTGATTGCTAGTATGTAAGCAAGATACACCATTCAATAAGATTAAAGTAAGATGAGAGAGTAATTGATATCTCAAATTAAAAAAGGTAAAATTAAATGCTAAAGTGAGCACTGGTTATCCTCTATGATAAGATTCTCCAAGAAACTGCAGCTCTGTAGACAAGAGCGATGAAATGAAAAACTGTAGAAGCAAATTTTTTTTTTTTTTTGGTTTAAAAACATTGTCTGGCAGTAAATTCAGGCTGCAACCCTGGAACTTCAAAAAAAAAAGACTACACAAACAATATAGTATGCATGAAATGTAGTATGTATAATATAGTATGTATGAAATATTCACGTTCCAAAAAAGCATTAAAATATACAATAAACTTGTGTCGGGTCCTTGCTCTCCCCATGGAGGAAGTATGTTTTTATTTCTATAGTGGTAACACTTTATGTAATTTGTGACTATACAGCTGTGGTTATACTTGCAATCTGCATGACACTAAGTGCCACTGCAGTCTGCTCCAGTCTACAACTGACCACAGGAAAACTGTCTCAGCAGACTATACATACAGTCTTCCAATGAGCGCAATGATACGAAAACTCCACTGTTCCTGACAACTGGAAAAATTATGTATTATATTTTTTACCTACAGTTTAAATCTCCTAAGTATCAAATGCCCAAACCATTCAGTGATCTGACATGAAAAACTTTTAATCCACATAAATTATTATACTGGAATATTACTAAGAGTACAGCCTTCCTCCCACCCCATCATTCAAAAGGCTGGAAACATAGTAGAATTAAAATTGCCTGCAAAATCACAGCACTGCCATGCCAATCAGACCCGTCTTTCCATCTCTTCTGCAACCCTCCAGCTGTTTTTCAGTGCTTGAAGACTATTCACTCCCTTATTCAAAGACAAACTGATCTCATCTCTTCTACCTATACGCACTGGCTCCCAACTCTCAAAGCCGTTTCTTTGCCTGACTCCTGATCCCAGGATCTACTCTCAAAGAACCTCCTCAGAGTCCCAACCTATCACTCTGCATTTCAATCGGGCTGTCTCCTCCCCGTTGCACAGCCATCGCAAGAACAGAAGTCAAAAAATACAAGAGCCTACAGCAGCCCAGAGAGGTAACTGAAAAGGAGGGGGAAATCTTACTTGGCCTACGCTGAAGCACACTCAGATGCAGATGAAATTTACAGTTTTTCTTTTCAGAACTTCAGTGTTTTTCTCTGTTGAAAACCTACAGTTTGCACATGCTCAAAGACAAAGTAAATGAAAGCAGATCCTTGTGATATCAAGGAAAAGATAATTCTCATGATACTCTGAATAGCAGAGCACTGTCTATAACTTGATCCTATCTAGAGAGCAACTGGTCATGTCCAGTGGACTAAGGCACATCTCTGCCTCAGACTACATTCTTGGGAGGTGGAATCTTTTTTTAAACCTATGGGACTTCAAAACCAGGTAGACACATGGGGGGGGGAAGAATAAAATATTTAACAGCTCCTCAGTTACTGGGAGTAGTGTCTCAGCCAGCCCTAACTTGTGGAACACGTTACTTGCAAAAAGATATTCCTACTACCGACAAGGAATCCGGAAGCAATCCGAGACTGACTGGACTTAACAGGATTACATGCATCTTCCATCCAGGGAGACGGCACTGAGGTTGTGAAGCACACTCAACTGTTAAACTGTACAATACTGCCAGAAGGCTCAGGTACAGCTTCGGCCAGCATTTTTTCATTCACAAGTTGATCTTATCAGCATAGACGGAGGTTTCTGAGCAGTGATCCAAAATTAGTAAGGACAAGAATGTCTTCTGCATACTGAATCGCTATCAGGATAACGTTCCCTACAGGGTAACACACTACGAGGACCACAGTGAGTGGTCCGCCATCCCGACTAACTTCATCATTTTCCATTACTATTCTTCATACAGTTTTGTACAAAAACCCTCCTGGCTTAATACCCCTTTCCTCAGGCAAAGTAGCAATTTTTCTCGTCTGACTGTGCCAACCATTGAAGAAGAGTCCAGAACCATCAAGAACCTATGCCTGCCCTCCGTATGCCAGGCCTAAAAGATGGTTTAATCAACAACTAAGTGCTCTTTTCATTTCAAGCCTTCCCCTCAATCCAGATCTGGCAGTCTAGTCAGCTGGATGAGTATCATGTGTCTCTGAATAACTTGATAATGAGCCCAATACAAGACTTTAATCAACCTTCCCAGATGTGTGAAGAACAGACTCCTGCAGCATTGTTGGGACCACTGCAATTTAAAAGGAGAAAGGAAAGAGTCATTCACTGAACAAGACTGTGTATGTTAAGACTGGCATCAGACACTGATGATTCTCTTAAAACTATGCTCTTTTTCGGTGTATGTTTTGACCATACCTTTTTCAGATCATCCAGTGTCAAGGGAACAGTTTCCCTCTGTAACAATCGTTCATCCAGTGACCTGGCTCATTCTACCAGTCCTAGGCTAGTCTCTCTGCGAGCAGAAGAACATAATAATATATCCTCCTTCTCCCCCTCAACTATGTTTTCCACTTTGGACTTTTTTAAAGTAGGTTCCTCAGAACAAGAACTATTTGCATTCTCATATAAATAAAATATACTACAAAAATAAATGTAAACAAAAATATATAAGCATATGAGAAATACAAAAATGAAACTTTCAGCACTTTTACAACTGCACTTAAAATGAGCACATGGAGGGAACAGTTGTTGAGAAGGATGCTGGTATTACTTAATTTTAAGTGGAGCTATTCTGAGTGTCTGAAAATGCTGTTAAATTGTGATACTTATCAAACACTTAAGGACTTTCATCGCTGAGCTAGCGATTATGATGGAAAACATCCGAACGCTACCTGGAAGAACCTTCAAGCCAGCCAAATTAAAATTAGTCTGTCCATGAGGTTGGACGTCAGAAATATAGAAACAGTGCACTATTATATATATAAAATTAGAAGGCAAAAGCTCTGGTATTTTCAGTTGAATAATTCCTCCTCACAGTTAAAAATAAAAAAATAAAATAAAATTGTGAAATTTCGGCTTATATTAGGGATACATATTAAATTTCTTCCAAGCAGCTAAACTGGATTCAACTCTTTCCTGCTTAAAGTCATTGGGATACCTTCTGCAAGTAGACTACGAGAATTCACCCTAGTTATTTTCTCATTTTGAATAAAACATCACTTGATGCAAAAAATAAAAAACTCTAATGTAATTCCATACTGTATTTGTTGCTGTAGAGTACTGGAAAATTTTCCCTCGTGCTCTGGTACTATTGCCAGTTTTGTTAAGAGGTCTTGTTTCCACTCTTTTAATGAACTGCACTGCACCTAATTTCACACATACAAATGTATGAACTTAAGATAACTATCTTGAATATCAAGGATTGGACAAAGGTCCACAAGAATTTCTATTTTTTCCTTTGAAGAATTTTGAATTTGGCAGAATAGATAAATACTCATGACTTTGTGTAAAGGTAACAAATCAGGAGCATCCACGAGTTATTCTTCTAAATATCTGTTTTGAATACAATAATTTTTCAGGTTTCCCAGTAATTCTTTAAAATTAGTTAAAGCAGCCTTCAGTCATAACAAAAGCTTTTTCTTTAGTCTTTGCCAGGCAGTGGGGGGAAAAAAAATCATTGTAATCCAGCAGGCATTGCACAGAATTTATGCAGTATTATAAAAAGAATGTTTTGAGAAATGGTTGGATTTAAATTTTTGTCTTGCATCATTTTCTTTTTGCTTTTCGGTTAATCTATTAAAGCTATTAATATTGTTACCAACTTTTATCATCAGGATTACACTTGTAAAGTCGGGAGTTTTACATGCTATAGTAATCATGCTGTTGCATTCACTTTTAATTCTTTTGTTAAATTAGTCTTAGGAACATATGTCCCTTACAGCAATTTCACAGACATGTTTACAAAGTGTGAAAACCGAACTGAACTGCACAGGGCCCTGTGCAACCCAGTGCAACTTTGAAGTCTGCCCTCCTTGGAGTAGGGAGGACTAATTGACCTACAGAGGTTCCTTTCAAACTAATTTTTTTTTTTGATTCTGTACTACAAAAATAGAAATATGCTTTGACCATGACTAACTGTGCAAGGAAAAAATTCCTGTAAGCAAACCTTACTTTCAGAGTTGCAGACAAAGTTCATTTTAACATCTGTAACAGGCATCAATGATCACAAATACACGACACACGTGATCGAGATGAAGTGCAACATCCTTTCCATGGTCTATCCAGGACGACTTTTGGATAAGCTACACTAATTACATTGTTAAAATAGACAGAGCTATGTCTTCTAAATTCAGTTTCTCACCTCTACAGCTGATTTTGTGCTCCGTGGTCAAGAGCTGCTTGATCCATTTAAAATGCTTTGCAAGACTGATGATATTAAATGGTGCAATGAGAGGGGAAAAAAAATAACAAAAAAATACTAGATAGCTTTGAGTTTTCAAAATGGTAAGAGCCAGATACACATACAATGGTTAGAATCCTGCTTCTATTGCTGCTATCGCAACAGAAGTTTCCAACAGCAACAGCGTTTCATTAAGGGAAGAATTTTAGCAAAGTCTTCTGAACTGCCTCCATGGTTCCTTTAATGCATCCTCCTTTCCATAGTTATTTTACTCTTTGGCTTTAGGATACTATCCAGCTGTTAAATCAATCAATACAGAATGATACTTCCACATACAGGTTTGACAGTCACTGGACCATAAGCATCGACTTTTAAAAAGAATGGACATTTGGTACATATTTATATTCCTTCTGAATTAAATTACACTTGCAAAATTCCCTTGTGTGTGCTATATCACGGTTGAGGTTTTTAAATCATTTTTTAAAGGGATACACTAGTTCAACTATGTTCTAGTTGTACAGTATATTACAGCAAAGCCACAAAGTCCCCAGCAACTTAAAAGCTGAGTCACAGAAGATCTAGTGAATTAGTAGTAAACATGACAAGACACTCCAGCATGCATTTAAAAAGGAACACATTTTAAATGACTCATGTGATTGAATATACCACTTTATTGGGCTTAGTGGTTCCTTTACAATGTTTTGCAGCAAGAACGATATTTCTTTCCTGAAGTATATGAAAAGTAATCACACTAATGGGGACTATTATGTATGGATCTGTGCAAGCAGTCTAGTGTCATAATGTTTTTATACAGTAAACTTTTTATGACACAAAGATGACAATAAAAATAAAAAAGAAAAGGAAATAGAATTACCTGAAGTTATTTTAAACATAAAAGTAAATATTACTGAGACTAGGTGAGGGACTCAAAATTTAAGAGCCTTCCTTCACAGGGTAAATCTCAAAAAATTAAATATTTCAATTCTGAATTTTAATTCTGAAATAGTGAGAAAAAGTTTAATCTGAAATAACACTTTGAATAAATGCACATACAAAAATCTTGTCAAAGCTTCCACGCAATACAGGAAGGACACTGGAGAAAATATTTTCATTATTTTTTCAAGTTTAAAGTAGGAAGACAACCTTTACTGTTGTAAGTTTCATATATTTTAAGACCTTAAAATCTGTGATAAGTCTGACTTCTGAAAGAAACTATGGATTTCAAATACATTTTAGGAAGTTTAGTTTTCCAAGATCTGTTCTTTACTTCTATTTCCAGTCTTTTGACAGAGAAATACCTTTTTGTATCTACAGATAAATAAAAGGAAAGCACAATCTTAACTGATTAAATAGTTTTGTATACATTTTAATACCATGAATTTCCTGTACGCCCTCTGCCAAACGCAACTACCTTGGTTTAATGGGGAAATAGACAAAGTCTCTCTTCAGACATTTTGTATTTATATAACGTATATCCAGTGAAATGTACTTCACAGGACTGACACAGATTAACGTTTTGTGCCTGGGTCATAAAGACAAACTAAAACGATATAAAACAAAACCAGAACTACATCTAAAGTAAAGCGGTCACGCTGTTTCACAGAAAAGATTTCTTTTAAAATAAAGATTTTGCCTTTTTCTGGAAGGGAAATTGTGGCTATGTCTCATTACAGGTCCAGCAGCA